CTGTTTTACTTCTAATCCATAAGCATTTGATAGTAATCAAGAACAGGCAAACTAGTGATTAGATAGCCACCCAAAACAGCTGAAGGGATATCATCCACCTGTTTTACTTCTAATGGCTGCAGATTTATGACTTACAAATAGAATGATCATCATGGTGTTTAATTACTTTGCAGCAAAATATATAAAAACTTAGCATTTGAAGAGTACTAGTTTTGGCATGGCGAAAATGGGTCTTTTTTGGGTTGGGAGGAATAATCCATACTGCTGCGAAATTGTACTCTTGTTTTTCAATTACACCAGACATATATATAAATTCCGCATGATAGCAAACGACAAAAGTACATATTCACTGAATAAAGAATCAAAGTTACACAGGAATGGAAAGAAAAAGTCAAAACCCTAACCTCGCCGGTCTGAGCGAAGCAAGACTGAAGGTAGGTTTCGTCCATCCAGTGTTGTAGATCACCGACCCAGATCGTCTTATTATCTTCGCTCGAACTCTGAATCTGATTGCCTCTTTGCTGTTGTGGTGACTGCTGTTGATACTGTTGCTGCTGATAATGATAAGGCATATAGTGTGGCGGCGGTTGTTGGTACATCATCGCCGGATGATGCATCGCCATTGACGCTGCCGCCGCCGCCGGGTACTGCTGCATCGCTAACCATTGTTGTTGCTGGTACTGCTGCATCGCCAACCACTGCTGTTGTTGTTGTTGCTGTTGTTGCTGAGTCAAATCACCGCCGCTGCCGTTGGTTGGCTGCATCTTCAAATCCTTTTTTGCTGATAACTCCTCTCCTATCCTGCGTTACCTTCTTCCCTCGTCCGTGAAACTGTTTGACGGCGTATTACAGAGAGGAGGAGGACGACGGAGGGCCTGGCCGGAGAGACGAACCAGAGTTCTTTGTGAGGGAGGAAGGATAAAGGAAAAGAGAGGTGAAAGACGGCTTACGAAGACTAAAAAGAATATGTTCAATTTACACTCAACTACCTTCATCTCTTCTCACATGTAACCTCTAAGTCCCTTACATTTTATAAAATTACAAAACCGTACCTATGGGATAGAGGAAGAGGAAAAAATGAATATTTCACATAATGTTTTTAATCAATCTGATTTATTTCGTACGAATCGTTTAATAAGAAAATGAGTCCAGTTCTAAAGGATCAAACCTATGAAACTTAAGGAATAATATAAAAAAAGAGATCAATCTTGGAGTAAACAGTATCTAATACTTATGTTTACATTTCTTAACGCTTGTACATTAGAAATGAGATTCAATCCTTTACTGCAAATTTCTAAGTCGTTTCTTTCACTCATATAACTATCTGGTTTCCTTCATCAAACCTCGAATAATAAATAAAAAACGGAATGAATCACACGTAAAGATATTGATAACACTTATATAGAATTAATGGTATTTTTTTATTAATTTGGATATCCAACCCGCTATGCGAGCCGACTAATCCTAGGGAGACCATCTGCTTTACAGATAGCCCGGAGTCACCACATTTGAACTTCCGTGGCCACAAGAGGATTTTTATTCCTCCCTGGATTTGAACCTGGGACCTCCTGATACTTTTGACCTTTAGAGCTAAGCTCAAACCAATCAGACAATGGTATTTCATAACTAACTGATTGAGCAACAGCTTGTAGATCACCTGTAAAATTTTATATAGATTTTTAATTTGGTAAGTTGAAAACGAAATAACAAAAGAATAGGTATAAAAAGGTGAATGGAAGATGTTCTTAGGCTATGAAATGAATTTGTGGAAAGACAAGGGGTAACGTTATTAGAGTAAGAAAAGTAGAGGGGGTAAAAGTGTAATTAAATCGGGAAGAAAAGGGGTTGTTGGATCTGGGAAATTGCCCTAGTGTATTGCTGCTGCATTGTTTTTCACGAGGATTAATAAGGGCCGTTGGATGGGGTGGATCGGTGGTTTTCGGCAATCAACCGTACCTATTGAAGGACTTATGTCTGATTAGCCGACAGCTACTTGTTGTAGGGCCCACGATCATAGATCTTGATCCCAAATATAAATTACACTTTTAGTAAATCTGAGATAGGAATAACGGCCGTCGATTGATTGGGGGTGGCTAAATCGACGGCCAGGAGATAGATCAAGTGGGAGGAGGGAGAATAATAAATAAGGGTCAAAATTAGGGCTGTCCAGCACCACGTCGCATGTGATACAAATTAGCGGCGTGGCATCGTTAACGCGGTTACACGTTTTACCATTTTACAAGTGCAATTTTAATTAAGAGATTTTTTTATTAATACGTGTTTGAAATAAAATAAACATTGGTTTGCATTAAGGGTGTCTCTCATCTACCCGATAAATATTTTATGGGTAAAATTCAACATTATTATTTACTTATCCGATAAGATTATAGTCTATTAAAATAACATTGTATATAATAATTTACCCGATAAACATTAATCGTGTTAAAATCGTCGTCCTCACATACTGGGTAAGGCTACGGTCCCTGCCATATTCTTATCTAAGTAAGTATTTGATAAATTTATATTATATTATAAAGCATTTGACAAAAAATTTTAAAAACCATTTTTTATGTATAAAGTACTGTTTATTGATGCATATTACTTAAAATTCAAGATTACAAATAAATAATGCATAAATACAACTTATTAAAGTTTCATACTTGAATTTGTGTAACTAACTACAGATAAACATAATCAAATATTGGATAAATATTTTATTTTAAATATAAAAAATCTAAAATATAATTATAATTATCATTGTCTTATAATAGAATACTTAATATTATCTTTATAAAAAAATTACTTTCTTATTAAACCTAAATTAAATTATAATAAAAAGGTTAAATTAAAGAAAGTACACAACAAAACAAGAACTTTTAAATAGTTAATTTGATACTAATATCAATTTGTTTTTGTAAATTTTTAAAAATATTTTCAAATTTATATTTTATTCAAAAAAAAATTCATCGTCGTTTTTTCTCAAAATCACTTAAAACAGTGTTATAAACAGGGGACAAAATAAAACGAAACATTAAAATTGAGATGTATCTCGTTACATTGTACGAGTATCCTTTTAACAGTCTCTAAATGTATCATTATATATTGTTAAATGCATTTTTACTTATTAAATTTTTCCTTACACCCATTAACTTTAAAATCAATTAATTCTAGTATTGTTTGGGATATTCAAAACAAAATGAAATTTTCAGTGAAATTTAAAAATAGAGGTTTTAATAATAATTTGAATTTTCTAATTTTTACAATGATTTTATTAATTCTCTTTATAAAAACTTGTTAAAAACCTATCGTTAAAATGAACAAAGAAAGATAAAAAACGACGACATTTTTGAATGACAAAAGCAAATAGCATTCTCAAGAGTTGGAGTGATTTATTGTTGATTTTTGGTGATAAATCCCTGCCCCAATACCTCCAAAAGTCATACCACCTAGGAATGGCAACGGGCCAGCTTCGGGTTGGGTATTGGTATCCCCGTCTCCGAATCCGGCCCGAAAGTTTCGGTTTTTCACCATTGGTTTCGGGGTTTTTTGTCACCCCTAATACGACCTGGTCCGCAACCTAAGTCACATATCTCTATGTTGGCTACAACCGACTTTCAAGAGTATCTTCATGTGATAAGAGCATAAGGCTACGAGTTCGGGTATGCACGGCCATATTAGGGTCGTCCGCATGAATTATATTTTTGTATTAGAATATAGTAGATTTATTGTTATTAACTAATAAACTCCTATCTTTTAAAAAGAATTATCAACTATATGAAACGATTCAACTTATATCTGTATTTAGGATTTCAAAACTGATCTTAGTTTATTTTGTGTGTGTGGCTTCATTGAGACTCCAGCATTTACTCTCTCTCAACTAGGGGTGCTCAAAAACCCGATGAACCCGACCAACCCAACCCGATTTAAAAAAAAAAAAAACCAACTTGAGGTAATCCGATGCATGATCGATAAAAAAATTAGCCAACCCGACCTTATTGGGTTGGAATCGGGTCAGGCCCAAAAAAACCCTAGGTAATCCGATGCATGATCGATAAAAAAATTAGCCAACCCGACCTTATTGGGTTGGAATCGGGTCAGGCCCAAAAAAACCCGACCAACCCGACAACCCGATGAACCTGACCTTAACTTTAGCTTTGAATTGTAGATAACAATCATGACATGACCAATCTCAACGTCAAGAAAGCGAAAGCATCGGGGTTGGAAACGTCTAAAACTATTGTTGTTGATTGATGTATTATCATTTGGTTTAAACATTTTTATTGTAATATCTAAATATTTGATAAACTTGCATATCTTGAATGGTCGGTCGTATTTCAAAGGAAAGTTTCCTTTATTTTTATGTGATTTTACATTGTTTAAACACAACCTGATCAACCCGAACGGGTTGGGTTGGTTTGGGTTGAACTTTTGTTTGGGTTGAAAATTTTCAAACCGCCAACATTAGGTTGGGTTGTTAAAACGGCTCCAAACCGATCAACCCGGGCCGTGAGCACTGCTGATCACAAAAGCTTAAAAAAAATCAACTTAAATCTTCTTTTATGGAGAGTGTTTGACCAAGGGGTAAGAGAGGTTTTTTTTTTGCTTAATATGGACAAGCATAGTATTTTGGTTGTACGAATAAGCAATATTTTTTTTATTAAGCTGTAAGTAAACATTCTATAGTGTTTGTACGAATAAGGGATTATTTATTTGCGGTTTAATTAGGCTTATTAGTTTGTATGGTTTATTCGCACAGCTCATTTGGGTTGTTTACTTACGGGTTATTCGTACAGAACATGGTTTAATCACACAGATAAAAATGGTGTGTTGTTCCTATTCAGCCACAAAAATGACACCCCTACCCCTTATTTAAAGCACCGCCTCCTTTCCATATGAGACACCCCATCTTCGGCCTCTTTATGATTTTTTTTGTTTTGACACTTGTTAAACACACTTGGGTACCTCCACATTGTATTGCACTAGTTTGTTTGTTTGATTGTGAGAGGATAAGCACCAATAATGTACAATGTTTTCTATATTAAGGTTTTAGTCCACCAAAACGGCAACTTATGCGATAATTTACCCAGTAAGTGGTAACTGTGGTAAGAGTTGTCGCACTCACTTACTGGGTAAGAATCTCAGTCTTTGCCTTATTCATTCGGTAAGATGATGCGACTTGGTAAGCGTTTACCCGAGTAACTGATCAGACTCCAATGTGCCTATTGATGATCTCAAGGCGTCTCTTGCGAATATCAAGTTCTATTCATATTCCAGATTGAACTCCATCGTTCGCTCTCTCAGTTTCCTGATTTTGTGATTGTTATTGACGTAATTCGCATATCCTTTCTTCCTTCCTCTATTCATCATCCCTTTTCGCTCTCGAATTGGGGTAGTTACATCAAAACAATCATTGTCCATGACTTTCTAGGGCAAGGGTTTGCTTCATCTCCCTCATGAACAACCATTTTCTATTTCTATGTGGGCATACAACACGCTTGGGTCGCCTGAAAGAGATCGAACACCATCATATGCAACATTCAATTTAAAAAGACGATCTTATATATAGTTTCAATCTAACATTTCTTACTCTAATATCATAAGTTGAAGCAACTTTGATGCCTCAAAATCCCAAGACTTTGTCTAGAGAACCAATAACCACCACCACTTGTTGCCCCTCTCTCATCAAAATGAAGGTAAGATGTGTATTTTTGTGGGTTTTGTATGTCTATATCTATACTATCTTATAAAGCATTTGGCTAAAACTTTTAAAAACTTTTAAAACTATTAAAAACAACCTCTATTGCTAATGGTACAACCTATCAAAGCCATCCCTAAACTCGTTCATCCCTAAACGATTTCATCCCTATTCGATTTCATCGGTTCCAGATTAGATTTCAT